TGTCAAGCTTTGTTTTCACCTGTGGAAAGATAACATCTATTCTCAAGAGTTCATATAGAGACAGAAAATTAAACAGTATAATCTCCAGTAATGACAAATGGCATCAGGACAGTTAGGTAGGGTGGAAAGTCTGTGTCGCTGCTGCATACACAGGGCGGGTGTCACAGGATGAAGGGTCAGGTCCCGGAGCGCTCTGGAGAAGGTGACATCTGTGGACTCCCACCATGGGAGAAAGGTGGTGGAGAGCACTCCAGGTGGAGGACTCAGACGCAGAGCTCCTGTGTTGCTGATGAGCAGGTGGTGTGGAGGAAAGTTAGAAGGCAGGTGACCTGGAGCCCGAGTACAGTGGGGTCCGTGGAGTCAGGACGGAGAGGAAGGCAAGGTGGGCAGCTGTCGTAGAGGTTGTGGATGACCTTGTGCTTTTATGACTTGAGAACAAAGGTTGAAACAAAAGTAGATACCAAGCTGAGTGTCTTTATTTCTAGAAAACCTTGGGCATTTTTTTCTAGCTTATTATTTTACCCATGTGTAATGGGTTGATTGATTGATTGATTGATTGATTTAGGAGTCACACATGTGTTCTTTGCCAAACATATTTATTTATTGTGGTAATGTCTGAACCGTTTTATACCAGCTAATAAAGTGATTTATTTGAGGAAGAAGGTGAATGAGTATAACATATGTGCCAGTTTTTTAGCTGTTTAAAAATCAGTCTTTTATGTTGTATTTAAAGGTTATTCTAACATCTTGGGAGACTTATGCATGCTTGATTATGTTTTCTTAGCAAAACAGCTCCAAATTATTTTGTCACATTAAATTTTCCTAATTATTTCCTTTGAACAGAAAATTTTAATTTTCTCAAAGAAGTGAGAGAACTAAAAATTACTAGATTAGTAAAATACTTATATTGGGCTTCTACTTCTACAGAACATCCATCTCTAATTAATTAAAGAAGGCACTGTCAGAGGGGAAAAAGTAAAGTGAATGTCATTTTTTTCCCATTAATGGCTCAGTTCCCAGAATGATTCACTTTTTAGCCTATGATATCATCCTTATTTAAGTGCTTGGACAGACAAATAAACACTTAGAGAAAGAACAGAGCAAAATGGAAAGGGAAGTAGAAATAATTCAAGAGGGTAACAGTCTAATTCGAACTTTAAAGTGCTGTCCGTTCAGTTTTGATTTCGAACTTCACTGTGATTTCGGTGACAGCTTGAGTCAGTCTGGGCCTTTCTGTGGGCTGGCTGTGTCCCTGGAAAGCACCTGCTTTGGTGGCCAGAGTTGGCCCGAAGTTTCCTGGGGAAAGGCTTGACTGCTTCCTACCTTCGCTTTCTTCCCAGGTCCAACTTATCTACTTCCCTGGGGCCAAGCAGCTTCTAGGGTCAGAAGGTGTTAGGGAACCCGGGGGATTTCTGCTCCCTGGAGCTCCAGCCGAGAGCTGGTGCAGGATTTTATCTTCTCCATGCCAACCGAGAGCCTGGATGGAGAATACAAACCCAGAGAGCCCTGTCTGCGAAGCTCTGCCCCCTCTCAAGTTTCAGTCCTCAAATGCTAATTTCCCAACGATAATCAAACATGAATTAGAATTCCAAAAGGACTTTTTTAGAAAGAGAATTATTTTGAAGTATTTTAAAGGCTGACTTAGCTGGGTGCAGTCGCACACACCTGCAACCCCAGCTGCTTGAGAGGCTGAAGCAGAGGCATCACAAGTTCGAATGCAGCCTGGGCTGCTTAGTGAGACCTTGTCTCAAAATAAAAAAATGAAAAAGGCTGGCAGGGTAACTCAGTGGTAGAGCGTTTGCTCCCCATGTGGAAGGCCCTGGGTTCCATCACTAGCACCACCAAACAAATAAATACATGCATGTATGTAAGTTTGCTGAATGTTCTGCTTAATTTCTTGGGTAAATGGTGAAGAGCAATAAGTGCCTAACAATAGCCAGAACAGGTATGAAAAAACAAATTATTGATGGTAGAAGAGAAAGGTTTACCTCACGCAACTTCAGAACAAAAGTCTGCTAAAACCATGGTAATGTCAGTGTGACACTAATTGATAAACAGATGATTGGAACAAATCAGGGCCTTTCTGAGTCGCAGTTCCTCATCTGAATCACAGAACACAGACTATTACTCGATTTTCCCAAGGGCCTAGTCTAGCAACACTAGGTATATTGGAAGGAGGTCAGGTCTATTACATGTAGTGTACGTCTTAAGTACTACGGAGAATTTCTGTCATTGAACCCGGGTGGAGAGAAACCACACCAGGCAGAATAAAATTAAGCCCTTGGCAGAGGGGGAGTTTCGTCTTTGGGAAGGGTGTGTGGATGTCTCCCTTCCTCAAGCACTTTCCAGTCCCAGGTGGGATGCAATGAATTTGAATCCTTAGGTCACTCCATGTATGAAATAAATTCCCCCAAAGTTTAAGACTTAAAAAGCCAAGCGAAAAACTTAGAAGAATATCTGGGATTTTGTATGTAAAAATCAATGGGCTGGAGAAAACTTCCTAAACAAATTAGGAGAACCAGAAATTCAGTTTCTGGAAAAAAAGAAAAAAAACATTATATGAAATATAAAGCCTTATCTGGTAAAAAGGAGAGCTTAAATACATGTCGGTGTTCAAAAAGAAATTTAGAAAGGAAGATGTGAAAAATAGATGGCAAATACTCTTCAGTGATAGAGAAAGTTCTCTTCTAAACTAATTAGAAAAAAAGTTAAAACTCCAATAGAAAAAAAAAAAACGAATGCTACCAGTCAGTCAGCGTTTGCCTTTGCACGGAGCTTTAGAGCAGCAGTGACAAGTACTGATAGAAACCCTCAGGGGGCCCGGGAGTTCCATGGGAGTTGCCTGGCAAGGGGCATGATGGGCTTTTCAGAGGAAAGGGCGTGTCCCATGTCATTGTGGAGATGATGGTTGCACTGTCAAAAATATTTGACTTTGGGCCAGGGATTTAGCTCAGTGGTTCCACTGCCTGCCTCCCAAGCGCAAGATCCTGAGTTTGATCCCCGGTACAAAAAAAAAAACAAAAGAAAACTTGACTTTATACTTAAAATGTGTGCATTCATACATGCGAGTTATTCCTCAAAACGGTTGATTTCAAAGTTCTAGTGATGCCCTTAAATGGTAACATGTTAAAGCATGTTATACCTGTTGATATGGGTGCTGTGCACGGAGGGAAACTGTCCTGCCTGTGTTTGGGGAAGGTGAGTTTTTACAGCCTTTACGGCAGCAGCTTTCAAACTTCAGGTAAAGATTATACCTTTCAATCCAGCAATCTCGTGTAGCCTTCTCTGCTCCACAGGAATAAAAGTTCCAGGGCACAAACACATGCATGCATATATGCTTAATGCAGTATTGTTCTCAAGGCTTGAAGCCTGGGTACCAAGGAAGGCCCCTCAGTAGGAGGGTGGATGATGTAGTTGTGGAGCATCTTTACCTTAGAGTACGATAACATCATTTAAAACCACAGGTGAGAACTGTCTGAGGTGGAAGAATTTCTGTGCGGTATTGTTACAGGAAAAGAGCATGGTATGCTAAGAAGGTGTTTCACCTCTGAAAAGCAACAGTGCTCCAAAAGTCCTTAAAATGTATTAGCATGTGTTAGAAAGTTGAAGACTATCTTTCCAGATCATTAACATGCTTTACCTCGTGTAGAGGGTAAGAAGTGTGAGGGAGAGGAGATGAAGGATGGGGATGAGCAGAAACTTAGATGTATAAGCCAAACATCAAATGAGTACATATATGGCAATTAAAATTCATAGGCATTATCCTGTTTGTAAAATTAGCATGACCTAGGGGAAATGTTAGGTTTTTATGTATTGACTTATCTGGATATTTATCACATATGCTAAAATTTTAGAAAATTGTTGCAAAGGGATGTTTATAATGTTATTCTATTTCCTAATAAACAGAACATCCCCTAGGTAGGAATTTTTGTCCAGTTTGAGTCAGGGCACCTTTTGGTTTTCAGGTTTCTTTCAGTTTCTTGAGACACTTTGCAAACATAGCCCTCCTGACGTCCACTCCCGACAGGACACCCACTTCCTTTGGAGCCGTGAGGGGCAGAGAAAGTGCAGAGCGTCCCCTGTGCCTTCAGCACACCCATGGTTGTAGTCCTAAGAACTGGCCTTTCTAGCTCCTTGGCTTTGCTGCAGTTTCGCTTGGGTTTTCACTGGAGAAGAGGCAGGAAATCGTGCTCAGATCTCAACTGGGGTCTTGTAGCCCTACACTTTGTTTGCTTTTTGTTTTCTTGTTTTGGTTTTTTGGTTTGTTTAGCTACACATCTCATGTTTTTACGTCACTGGTTTGAAGAGGCAGAGTGCACAGCAGTCTGAGACGATTATTGTGGGAGGAAGCTCTGTCTGCAGTCATGAGAGGGAAGGTTGCCCGTCACTGGTTTAGATTTCTTTCAGCCGTCATGGGCCTTTTGTCGCTGGCCGTTTTCCACGGTGCTCATATGTATAAGAAAAACTGTTTTTCACCATGAAGTAAGAAGAGCATTAGGACTTGCTAATTGATAAGCAGCACCTTCGTCAAACTCCCATCTTGTGCTTTAGGTGAGCCTTCCTTCCCTGAGTCTGCCGAGTACCCAGGGTCTCAGATGGCTTCTGTTCACCTTTCACTCACCTTTACCAACACAGGGCTTGGGCACAGAGCCGCTCAACTCCTCTGTAACTGGCTAAAAAGAGAGTAACGTATATATGTCTGTGTATTTAACATGTATTTAACTGTGTACTCCAGGGCATTAATGTCCAATGAAATGGATTAAGATTCATTAGCCCTTTAATTGCCCACCTTTTAAAGATGGAAAATTAAGTTGGTCAATCAGCTTTAGTAAATATTAAATGAAATTAATGTAAGTATAGGAAAGTTAATATAATATGCACTATATGAATTCTTTAACATAAAACTCAGAAAATTGAACTGTTCATTCAGAACATTAGTTATTAAAGAACGTTTTAATATCACTGTGTTCCTTTCCCTGTTTTTTGTTTGTTTTCAATAGGCCCTACACTCCCATGAGGGGTGGGCTCTCCAATGTGTGGTTTGACAGGCTGAAGATCTCTGCCGACTGCCCCGAGCACCTGGAATCCATCGATGCCATGTGCCAGGCGCTGACCGAGCTCATCGATGAGGAGGTCTGCAGTGGCATCAGCAAGAGCAGGATCCTGCTAGGTAGGACTTGGCAGACTGCTGCCCAGGGCTTCCGCTCCATCTAGTTCCGATTATGGGATTTACAGGGACGTCGTTTGGAATCTCGTACGTCACCGACCCTTCACAGTTTTAGATATACTACAATGTGAGGCTTTCAGAAATACTGTAATTAGAAACAACAGCTCAGGAACGTGACTTTCTTTTTGAATAGTAACATTTTGCCATTTTCCATGGCAGTTAAAATTTTCTTTCCAGTTTAATTGTTAACAGATTCTTCATTACACTTTCTAAAATATTTTAATTAGCTTAAGTCTTATGAGTATAAGATTAAATTACTATTGCTATGATTGAGATAGAGTACAAATCAAAATATACCATCAGATTCATGAAAATTAAACTCCTTTGAGTAAATCTCACAAGAAGAAAATAAATAGTTCTTCTGTAAGCCCTGTTTCCAAGAGAACATAACACCGCCTTATGGAAGTTTATTCTGTTTAATACTTTTTTTGTACTCATCAAATACACAAACTAAAAAATCTCTATTTCTTTAATACATACAAAAGTGAGATGAGTTTATAGAATATGAGTGATGCAGGACGTATTTGGGTAAAAGTTTTTTTCCAAATATAACTACCTAAATGTATAATAATTGTATTTGATGATGAAATTATAAACCAAATTAAACATTACGTTCTAAACAACATGAAATTATGCATTCATGTCCTAAATACTTAAGATTTGGGTAAATTAATGCCCAAACTATAAAATTCCTTTGTGTTCACTGAAATACTGAATTGGCCATTGATTTAAAGAGGTAACATGATCAAAGTGGTAGAATCTATCTTGGCTTCAACTTCCACTTCAGCTGATTAAAAGCAGTACACCTCCAGCCCAGTAATGTCAGCGTTCTGGGTCTCAGTTTCCTCATCTGCTGTACTTTTTTACATTTGACATCAGGGTTTAGCTCTAGTAGATACAACCATGGAACATTCTGGGAGTACTAGGAAGAGCACAAGGAACGGACATCAAACCCAGCCCAGGGCTTAGGAGACAGAAGGTAGAATTAAAAATGTATAAATCTCTGTCGGGTTCCATCATTCACTCTTCAGCAAATATTTTTTAAGTCCCACTGTGTACGAGGCAGATGCTCAGTGGGACTCACAGATAAATAAGATAGGATCTGTTTCCCAAATTTCTGAGCACCAGCAAGGGCATGTGAGGTACTTAATATGAGAACTAAGCTCCAGCCAGACTGTGATGCGTATCTCGCATGGTATAATAGTAGCTCTGCAAAGGAATTGGTCAGGTGACTTCCTCTGTAGTTCCCAGGATCCATCACAGTACACAGCACAGAGCATATGCCCAGGAGATCTCTAATAAACAGCACAGTGAGTATCATTAACAGTGAGTTAACTGATGATTTCAGTAATTAAATACAATACTAATTTAGAAGAAGGAGTCATAGCTACTTGGGCTGGTAGAGTACGGTGCAATGGAAAGGGGATTTGCAATGCATAAATGATGAAAATGTGAACTACCGTAGTATGGAAGTCCGGGTACAGGAAATGAAATGAACAGCTTGGTAGACGTGGAAAGGTAACGTGTTTGTTCGCTCTGTCTGCACATTTGATGGCTGTCGCAGGAAGTCTGCTGTCTGCCTGGGAAGGACTCTGTGGACCCTGATGGCCAGGCTCTGGGACCGCGGAGCAGGACAGCACAGTGGTGATAAAAGCTGATTCTGGATCTGCCACTTCCGTGCTGAGCCGAGCCACCTCTGAGCTACCTGTGCTGAATCGTTGCTACCTAATCTGAAAATGATAATAGACCACAATATCCACTTGCATTACAAAAGTAGAGATGATGCTTATAAAATATTTGCTTCACTCGAGGCTCCTAGTAGATATTTTCTTTGGTCCCCTTTTACCCCATCCTGTGGTTTAAAAGTGTGCCTCATAATTAGTGAAGGATTATTGAAGAATGTCGTTAAGTCATACATTTGATTAGAATTATACTTTGGAAAGTAGATCTGGCTGAAGGGGGTGAAAGGTGATCATGGGGCAACAGCCATCAAATGTATCAGAATGAGCCATTGGAGACTAAAATTGTAGTAGCAGTAGGAAAAGAAGAGCTTAGGAAGAAAATTGCTGTAAAGTAAAATTACAAAGTTTTCATCCGTGAAAACTACGAAAGGCACACCGATTAGTTTTCTCACGGCTCCTGTATTAAAGAGGCATCCCATCAAGTGGAACCTCGGTCTCTCCCTGCACTCCAACATCAATGCTTTATTCAACTCATCTTTGACTACCAAAGAGGCAGGGGGTTTTCTTAAGATCAGAAAGCCAGGAAAAATTTTGCATCTAAGTCTACTTCATGTCATACCCCGTGATTTTTCTATTAAACTGGATCTTTTCAAGATTCTCAGTACACATTGTCAAGTATTTCGAAAATATTTGTTCCAGTGGGTACTTTTACTACCTATGTTAGAGTGTCCTTATGGCCCCTGCATTGAATAATACAGTCTTGGGAAAATTTTGGAAAAATAAGGAAACAAGAAGTGGTAACTAATGTTAGGGTGCTGTTTTCATTTCAGTTCTGTCATAGTTGGCACCAAAGGCTCTTTGAGTTGATCTGTCAGTCTTCTCATTTATTTATTTATCCAGAGACTTTCTTGTTCTAAAAATAAGCTTTTCCCACTCTAGAATTTGGATGAATAGTCAAATGGATTTTCTACTGGTTTTCCTACAATATATGTTTTTTTTCTTTATTATTTATTTAATTACTTGATTTCTTTTCCTTGCATTTGTTTCCTTTCTTTGTTATTCATTTAATTACTTGATTAGTCTGGAATTTTTTTCCTTCTATATAATGAATGACTTTAATTGTTTTCTGAGATACCAAGAGAAATTTCTGAGAAGATAGTCTTATTTATAATAATAAACCACATGGTGGCACACACCTGTGATCCCAGCACTCAGGAGACTGAGGCAGGAGGATTGCCATAGCCAATTGTTCGGACCATCCTGAGCTACAGACTGGACTACTTAGCAAGACTGTTAGAGAGAGAGAGAGATTGATTAACTAAATATAATAATAAAGCAATCAGTAATATACTCGATATTTTTATCAAATTTGAAATTATGGAATCGCATATAGCCTCGTGTAAATATTGTCAAATCTAAAATTGGGATAGGAAAATATGTTTCTTTAGAATTTGTGGGGTGAGTCAGTTCATGTCTGCATTTGCCCTTTCCTAGCTTGAGAGATACAGGAGAAGGCAGCAGAAAAGCAGGTACAAACCTCAGTGTCCGTAAAGTCAGGTGGGTGCTTGAAGACAATGAAAATAAACCCACGGTACCAATTCTGTGGAGTCACACATGCTGTAGAATATGCAGGATTCTTGTGCTCCTGAACTATAAAAATCAGTTTATATTGCTTCTCTTTTTGTATGCTGGCTTCTTCATGAATATTAGCAATTGATGCATAGGACAAATAGAGAGTGCTATATAAACTCCCGTGGAGTATTTGTTGTAGTTGTTTTTAGTTCTACTGATCTAGCTGAAACTCTTATACGTTTGAAAATGTGACATAGGAGGCATAACTGTCTATTTAGCATTACTGTTTAGAAGTAAATACACCCGCACCCCCCGAGTTGTGAACATCCTTGCAAACCAATACCACAGCCGACAGCAGGTAATGAAGTTGAAACCTGGGCCCTGGCCTTGGGCTGCTGGTCCTGCTTCACCACTCACAGGTGCACCATTTCCTCGATCTCTGGGTCTTGGACTAGGATAATGATTCCTCCCCTGGGAGTTTTGATAATTTAATCAGTCTATTTACGTGAAACGCTCTACTTAGAAATGCACCTGGTGTTTAATGTTGTAAAAGCTTTCTTACCATCATTCCAAGCTTTCCGTCCACCCCATCATGATGGCAAAACGGCCACCCTGGAACAGCGCCACCTCTTGGGGACGCGAGGTGGCTCACTCTGCCTCCTTGCAGAGGCTCACTTTCTCCTCCATGCGTACGAGCTATGCTTCTCTGCATTGTTTTACTGCTCATCGATTATTTAAACAGAAGTCATTGCACAGTGTTTCTCTGCAGATTTTTATACTAAATTGTACATTGTAAGTTGCTAGGTAAGATTTAAGTGCCCTTCGTAACATTTCGATGAAGGAGGGATCCACTGGGAAATCAAAGGAAAATTTCATTTGAGATTCCAGTTTACATTAGGTGCCACACACATACTATATACCAAGGTTATGTGTTTTGAAACATTAATTATAACAGGAAAATATTTTTAAATGTAAGATTGAAAAGAGAAATTGAAGGTAATAGATATAAAAATTGTCAACTTCATTCTTTTTGCTTACTGTGTGATCAGAGCTCTGGTTTAGCATCAGACAGTATGTGCTAATGGCACCTTCTCTCTGAGATCATAACTGCAACCAGTGGAACTCTGTAAAGGAATCTCCTCTGTCTTTGATGTAGGTGGGAGCCCACTCCTCCTCTAGGGTTTTATTTTGATCAGTGCTATTTTGTTATGTCAAATTCAGCTTTAGAAACAATTCTTTGTGTCATATATGACCTTCTGGGCAGTCTACCTCATTTGGCCCAATGGAAATGATACTTCTCATTACTAAATTTTATCTCCAAATTGTTATTAAAACTTTAAGTTCTGGAATGCCAAAAATCCTCTGTGAAGGCTTAGTTGAATGAAGCAGATATTGAAGCCATATCCCAGTACAGTGTCCATATTATTGTGGAAGTGTGTAGCAGGCACAGTGAGCAGGTGCAGCAGGGAGAGGGTAAGCAGGGTTCTGGGAGCTGCTTTGAAGAACAGTCTCCAGGAGTGAGTAAGAATCTGACCGCTACATGAGAGAGCGGTGCAGTCGTGTGGGTCTGTGACCCTAGCACTCTGAGGCCAAAGCAGAGGGTTAAGAGTGCCAGAGTGGTGTAGTGACTTCAGGAGACCTTGTCTCAAAATAGAAAGGGCTGAGGGTGGAGCTCAGTGATACAGCACC